GAAAAAAAAAAAAAAAAAAACAATGATTTGAAACTTCTGTTATTAGTAGATGCTGTATCCTCTTTCTTATCTAGCAATGAAATATAAGCTGTTTGCTGTTTTGCTTATAATATTGATAATCGTTATCAACGTAAATGAAGTTTCTAGCTAAAATCCATTCCCTATCTAAAGATTTGATTCAGTGTCAAAGTGCAGTTGTTAAAAATCTGTCAAAGATTTGGTTGGCTTAAATAGAATTCCACATAAAGCAGTATCATACAGAACCCAAGGATGTATGACATGACTGCTGATCATGGCAGACACTTTTTAAGAGTGAAAATATATGTAGAGATTTTCATTCGTTATATTTTCATCTAAATACTTAATCATTGCGTAGAAAAGAATTGAAAACACTAGTGAATGGAATATTGCCTCTGAAAGGTATTTCGCGTATTTCGCACTATTGAAAACGACTATTGTATATAAATATAAATATCTCTATGTGACAAAAATAATTATATTCATGCTGCTATAATATAAAGGAATGGCAAAAACAAAGTTTTGTGTCACAGCTTTTGCTTTATGAAGTTGTGTGTCAAGAAATGTAAAATTGTATTAATTCAAATTGTATTCAACTGATATACCTTGAAACTAAAAATAATTAGACTAAAGTTTTAACATGTTGTTGAAATATTACTCGAGAGGATCTTTTTTGATCCAATGATGAAGCAAGTGACTCTTATCCTAGCATCCTAGCATAATGAATTCTCTGTTCCTAAGGCAATGAGTAAGGAAGAATGAGACTCGATACTTATATACTTCTGGGTACATTAATCTAAACGCTATAAAATACAATTGGATGAAGATTTTGAGAAACAAAGATATCAGGATTCAGAATAAAACTTGGCAATAAAGTATTATGTTATTCATTTAGCTGGTCCAGCCAGCATTGTAAATATATAAATATATGTTTATACATAGAATAGCTCTCCCTTTGTATGTATATTTATTCCAGCCAAGTTATTTCTGCTTTACATATGTAAGATCTTTGGTTTTGCCAAGGTATTACTCTGTACATAAGAAAACTCGTTCAGATGGTATGTTAACCATGAGTAAAATCGCTCGAACAGCCTAATCATTTCATAGTTCAAGGAACAGTTCAATACAATAATTTGCAACATCATTTTGTGAAAATGAATATAATTTGACTTGTATGATACACATTAAGATACTAATCCTTCAGATCGAAGTCAATCAATTTATGAGTTCTGTATGACCTTCTAACTAAAAATATCTCTCGCATTAGTATTAAGATTATGCTCCTATAAAAAAAAAGAAAAAAAAAAAAAAAAAAAAAACCATGTAACATTGTTATCTTGACCTTTCAAGAATAACTATGGCCAAATTGTGCCATTTCGTTTCTAATGTAATTATGATTTTATCATGCCTTCTTTCAATATCCTATACCATACAACTAGATATATTATGTGACTCTGATGTGGTACGTGTGTTATTTGTGATAAAGCCCCGTAACGTGGTGTATCACAGAACAATTGTAGTAGTTATCATTTAACATATAATATTTATATATCATAATAATCTTAAAAGATAGATAAATGTTGACGAACTATGATGGATGCATGAACAGTGATGTGAGAATGCAAGCGCTATAGTGATGTAGCGACAGATGACAACGGGTGGTAGGTGGTAGTGGACGAGTGTTTAAAGAAGGGAAGAAAGAGCTACCGTAACATCATCTCAAGATGTGAAAAGATGAATAACGGAGCTCAATAATGGGGATGAACAAAAGTGCTGTACTTGAAATCAATGGATCATATTGGCGAGGGCATTCTGACGTGCACGTTTTGCTTCCTCTTCACTGATCCTCTGCTCAATTAAATATTGAGCAGTGCCGATTGCATTAGGATAACCCGTGATAGTCACTATGCGGTTCCTGGTACCAGGAGCGAACATGCCCTTCTTAGAGATTTGTATATTGGCGCCACTTAGGTGCTGAATCTCAATGAGGGCACGACCACCGGGTCCCAGAATAGCTCCCACTATAACCTCTGCAATTTCTATGTCTACTTTCTTGGTCTCCTTGTTGTTGGCGTCTACCTGTGTAGGACTCTTACTTACAAGTGATAACTGGTTAGTGCCAAGGCCAAACGAATTGTTGTTTAGATGAATAGCACTGGCAGCTGTGTTGTTTTGTCTGAATGGATCAAAGGGCTCGTATCTGTCAAGTGTATTACGTGGTGTAGGAGACGTAGATCCAAGAGCAGGAACTGTTCCAATTGGCCCAAATACGCCGCCATTATTATTCGAACCATTTGCAGTTGTAGTGCTATCCATAGGATTTCCAAGGTAACTCATACTAGAAGTCATTCCAATTCCCATTCCGAGGAGATTATATTTAGTAAGTGTCGCGATAGCAGACAAAATTTCGCTAGCTGCGGGTTCCGAAAAACCAGCTGTTCGTAAATTTAATTTTATATGTTCCAACAACTGCGTTGTCACTGGTGCTGTATCCGCTGTAATTGCAGCTCCTAAATTCAAGTTCAAGCTTAGCCCAGCACCATTCAAGAGACTCACTGAGAACAAAAGTAAGTCACGATTTAATACGTAACCACGATGCGTTAATTCTGGAGATTTTATACATTTTTTAAATTATTCGAAATCTTACCTGTATTAATACCAGCTGTGGAAGTATATGTGGGAGTATTCGTAGGTGTTTGAGCATAAGGACTGCCTGTGGGATTGTAATTAGCTACAGGGCCACTGACATCTGCATAGCTAACATTTGGACATGTACCACTATGTGGATCATCTGCCACTTTTGCTAATATCATCATTAATGCATTACGATTATTTTCTTTCTCTCCAATTACTGTTATACACCTTTCTTGCAAGGATACATCTTTTGCCTTTTGACTTATTTGAACATACGAGCCACATTCTTCTTTTATTTGCTTAATATAATTTCCAGCTTTACCTATTATCATTCCTGCAGTGCTGTTAGGTACCAAAATTTTTACCTAAAATATTAGATTAATCATTGAATCCAAATGAAGCATTTATGTTCTTTCTGATTATAACCAACATACATAGAAGAACATTTCTTATTACACACTTCTAATTAACATAGTATCACTTAATAAGTGGGTCATTGCTAACAAGAATAAGTCATAGCTTATTATTTACGTTTCTTGGGTATTGAATGAAATTTGTATCATTGCATTGTTATTCTGATATGCAAAGTGTACATAAAAAATATATCTAGATCTATATATAAAAGAAAATTTGTACCTGTTTGTCCCTTTCTACAGTGGTTTTTCTTGATTCAAAGTCAACAGTTGTCTTCAATGTGAGATCTGGTTTCTCACGAATTTTATCCATAATAAAATCCATAACTGGCATTATGGCTTCCAAGCTACCCGTAATTAAACATACTCTCTCTGTTGTTCCTATAGATCACGCACAATTATATATTGGCAGCATTGTACCTCTATTTCTTAGCAATAAATGTTTCCAATATACCTGGATAGTAATCATGAGATTTGGACATTTTGACCCTAGCCCCTGTATCTTTTTGTAATTGGGCAATTGTTTCTCCTCCTTTTCCAATAATTGCTCCTGCAGCCACGCCAGGGACCAATACTTTGAGGTAATATGTTCCATCTCCCCCTACAAAATATAACACAAAGCAATTATTGCATTATTCGATTGAAATATGACATTTGTAAACAATTTATGAATTAATACATAACAGAATACACAAGATCATGGAGTGCTACAATTTTTGAAATATTTACACAATTCAGCAAGAAATTGTGTTTATTACATCAACATAAACAACCAGAGTAAAATATGAGAACTATATGACTTTAATAAAATATATATAGACATCAAAAACATTACAGATCTTGGAATGAAGATCAAAGTAATTCTCAATACATTCTCAAATTAATATTTTCACAAGTTCGATAAAAAAAAAGAAAAAAAAAAACACGTATAATATTACTATTGGACATGAATATAACAGGTAGATCTCGCATGACTTTATAATGCTTTCTATCAAGTAATACGTTACTCCGACATCCGTGGTAAAACTTGTGACTTCTGATTGGTTTCTAAATCGGTGGAACGCGAAATCATGCGTACTCACGGACACGCGAGCGCAGAGCGACCGATACCAACGAACACGCAGTGCGAGCCACGAAAAACTGTCGCGTAATCGGTGAACGAAGGATAAGGAAGTGTAATGCAGAATGACACAAAGTTTCGATGCGTTGAAGGCAAACAGCTGTTTGACAGATGGAAGCCCTGTGCGCTCACTCGCTTCGCATCGACCTTGACCCGCAACCTCGGCAGCGAAACGGTGTGCCTGACAACTCACCGATACGCCACATCCTAGTAACTGCCACTCAACGGGTAGCAGTACGTTCCTTAGTACGCCGCTTTCGCGACAACAGTGGCACTGCACTACGAGAATGCGGCAGAGAAAAGTACACAATATGCGTACGAATGGAACGAGGTGTAGAGCCACTTCCAATGTTCTTGCCGCGAAGCTAGCGGTTGCACGTTCGATGAAACGGGCGCGACAGGGACGAAGTTGCAGAGTCACGGAGCGTGATCGACAGCCACCGCAGCAGCGATTCTCCATTAACGACGTTCACAGGCACAGCCGCCCACGCAAGAACAATGACGACGATGACAGCCACAACAGCGACGACGACGACGACGACGACGACGACGATGATGGGGAAACCAAGCAGGAAAATAAGGACAATGTTGACGATTACAGAGATGGGAAAGGGTGGGGGGGGAGGACGACAACGAAGACGAAAACGACGATGACAATGCTGACGTTGACGATAATAAAATGAACGTCAACGTAGGAACAACGTTACAGGTGTCGCGTATGAGTCCGCGTCTATGATATAAGACAGGGTATAGCGAAGAAATTGAGAAAATAGGAAGACGAGAGGCGGAATAGAGTAGGAGACGTGGCACGAGAGGATGCGCGAACCGCTGTGCGGTGCACCGTGTTCGCGTTCTCGCCTCCGTGTACACGTTCGCCAGGCTTCGAAGTGGGAAACGAAAGGGAACGGCCGAGCGAGCGATCGCTGTGTCAACAGCAGCACCAGCGACAAGATTGTCAAAGGTGTGCAAGAGAGTAAAAAACATTAAGCAAGAGATAGAGAGCAAAGGGAAGAGAGAGAGAGCGAGAGAGAAAGAAAAAGGGGAGAGGGAGAGAGGAGGAGAAGAGAGAAAATCATTGTGAGTGTTCTTTATCGTTCGTATATGTATAGGAACATCGGTGAAGGTGCGTAGGGAAACTTACGCGACAGTCGAGAAAAATGATTGACAACGCGCAATTAAAATACCTGTTCCGTAATGAGACCTCTTCGTCGCGCCATTTTCCGCGTCACAATCGAGCGGCCGCTTCCTGGAGTCTGCAATCTCCGAGGAGGGACACGTCTCCATTCCTGAGTCGGCAGCCATCTTGTCTTTTCGGTCGGGCACGCCAAGAGAAACGAAGAGAGAGAGATAAAGTTAGACAGAGATGTACTTTGACACAGAGACGATAGTCGCGACCGGTGGCAAGTGTCGTTGAAAGCAAGCGAAGGGAGACGCACCACACACGGACCGGACGAACGAATGAACGTACGCACGACCACGATAGGTTTAAGCGGAAGGGAGATGACGGACATATAGACACACGTATAGACGAACGAACAAACGACGAAAGCCCTCGCGGGGTACCGCGTCTCACTGGCGACTGCTCGCGGCTGCCTTGCCAACCAGCTGGTTGATACTCGATGGTGTGCCTCGGCCCTCGCGTTCCTCTCTCGCCCACTCTGTCTTTGTTACTCCGCTCTCAGCTCTGATCGCCAGTACGCCTCTCTCTTTCTCACCAGCCCTCGCGGGCTCCGTTCTGCAGGAACGTACTATTCAATCTACATCAGGGGCGTCTTATTTTGGGCCCTTATGCATTCACGCGTACATTTTCCAATTTTCAACGCAATATTCGAATTCGCCTAATACTTATTCGTTCTTTCGCATTTCGTGCATTCACCTTATCGATTCGAAAGCATATTTTTCCTAACTTACTTCAGTTTTCCTACTGACAATGATAACTTAGTATTATATTACATAATTTATTGCATTTCTTTGTCGACTTTATAAGCTCATCTGACCGATTTAATATTTCGTAATAAACGATTTAATGGTTTCTAATATGCGTTGCGATTGATCTATCACGAATCAGAGTTAGATCAACGAATCGCTATCGATTGATTTTACTGCTAACCGTCATACAGTTACACTTGCGACTTACTGTGGCATGTTGCATTTATTGTACGTATCTTTAAGCGATGCGAACGTTTTGCAAAAAAATACTAATTTGAATTTCATATTTTATAATTTTGCTGGATATTATTCCTATTAAGAGAAAACTGTTATAAAAATATTTTCCTGTCAAGGACGTTAATCTTGTTATCGTTGGTGCGCACTGCAGTATGACATCATAGTTCATGTACAAGTGAATAAGATGCATTTGATTTCCTAGCGATGATTTTCGAAGTATCACCGTAATCACTTATCATGATGATTTTGAGATTATTTTTTATTAACGATTATAAATACGTTTATACTATCGTATTCTATGGTGATTCGTGTTACTATATCGGCATTAATTATTCAAATGGTGACTAATTACCAAAAATTATATCAAAGTTTCGTTGATGCGTCATTGTATACCTTAGAACCTAACTTTCTGTTTATCAAGGGTTTACTAACTTTAAGTTACGGAAATAACTGAATCCGTTATCTTCAGTCCGTCGAAAGGGAAACAGCCATTTTTCTTTGAAAGTGAAATCATAGGACATATCACGTACACGCGTACATAACGTACATGCATGTCTTCTTTACGAATATTTTTATCCATGCATATAGTCGAAGTCATGAAGAAAGAGGTATTTTTAAGAGCCTTATCTGAGGAAAGAACGCAGATAGTGTGCGCTATTGGTTTGTAATGAATCACGTGCTTAAAAATGTGATTCTTTTTGCTTTACATCTCATACGAATCGGTCCGAGGAAATAATCTGGAAAAAGTATTATAAATATTATACTATAAAGTAACCTTACTCTGTTCAACATAATATCGTTAATAATAATTTTATAGAAAATTATGACACTTTCTTCACATAGATCGAAACGTGCAAGATTGACAACGTTATTATCAATGTGTACGATCGAAGTAACGTCCATTACAGCACAATAGATTTTTCGTAATGAGTAGAAACAATGCAGTCATCGTTGAAACTCGTGGGTATTGTTTTCTAATACCGATTACGCGCACATGTAACTGAAACGATATCGTTGCACACTGCAAATCGTATTTACAACGATTCACCTATAAAAATTCATTTTCCAAAAATACACATTTTTTTTTTAAACTATGACGATTCACTATCATAAAGAGTAAAGTTCGAAGTTGCAGTAATATCAGGCGATACGTAATTGTGTAGATAAAAATTTATTTCGCATTACAAATAGTGGTACAAATCCATGAGTGGATGATGCTATATAGACAGAAGCTTTCAGTCACAGTCGCGTGTCGCAATGCTGTTACTAGTTGTGAATGCAGCTCATCGTCGGAACGACAAGAGCGACAATTCGTGAATCGTACGATTCTTCCTTCCAAAATGTCGCCTTTAAGCCACGAGGTGGCTCCTGAGTGCTCGAACCTTCGCTTTATAATCCGAACTACGTTGAGACACGTGCGCACACGACATTTCGGGATCCTCGTTTCACCTGTGCGAACAAATTTATCTATCTTGTGACACTTCCTGTTATGCTCCTCGTATTTGTTCGAACTAAAGGCGCGAACACATCGGTTGACGCTCGCGTGCTCTCACAGCCGTTTTCCCGATCCGATTATGTAGGTGCATGTAACACGTATGCTGTCATGAATTTTTCGAACGATGTGACTCGCAGCGTTACTCGATATATAATTACCGTACGACCTCGCTCGATTGTATTTTTCTCTCATACCAGCTATGATACGTTTTGCTACCGATTCCTCTCGTTTTGAATTTCTACACGAGATTTTATGTTTGAATAATTGCGCCGTTTATATCGTGAAAATTTAATTATTCGTTCCAATACAATTATCCGTATCGTTGATCGTTAGAATATGATAAAAAAAATTTTTTTTTAACATCGATTATAAAATTAATAAAAAATGTGACCTTTTGAAATTTACCAGGTTAAGTAACAATCTTGGAATTTTTTCTCCTATTGCGTCACATGACCAGTGCTTGGGTGAGGTAGCATCTCTAAATAAACATATATATAACTATCGCTAACCGGTTTATCGTGCGATGTGATTTCTAATTGTGATACTTAAGTGATTTTTTAGTGTTACTTAACTGCTAAAGGAATAAGTTCCTTTAATGTATTGTCCTTGTCCCACAGCAGCTCGAGTGAACGAGCTAGATCCCTGCACTCTTTTAGACTTCGGGTTAGCAGGCTGTCCATCTATACTTAAGCGTGAGCGCACATTGTGTTGCACGCACGATGCATACATTTAAATGCTTATCCAAGGCCATTGCTTACCGACACATTGACATACTGCTGTTAATACATTACTTATAAAATCGCTTGTGTTTCTTATAAAGTTTCTTATCTCCAGTATCTACAGGATGCGATTTCTATGCAGTTTGAAACATTTAAGTACACAAAGCATATTTATGTTAGCACAACTTCTGTTAACAAAAGATGCAACAAAATTAGTCCTAGATTAAGATATTCTCTATATGCGAGTAGTATAAATAATTCAACAAATATATTAGTTTTCGTGCATCGAATATTATGCAAGCGGAACAGTACGATTCCTTGCTACGTTGACCTCATTTCTCGGTTGACCTTAATATCATACAAGGTACTTCAAGTCGATCTATAGAGTACCTTTGGTCTATCAAGTTTTTTTGGAAATTTTAATATATATAAATACAGTGTACTTCCAGCTATTATTCTGTTCTTTTATATTAAAAATAATAATTTGGGCATGAAATATGTTTTTATTTTGATAACAATTACATATTTGATTATTTTGTATTCTACCGCTTAAAAATGAATGCCTAGACTGCATGCTACCGCGCAGTCAACTTTGTAATTTATCGTGAAAAATATTCAAAGATTTAACAATAACAATAACAAATTTATCTCACTTTATTTGGATTTTCTATTAATATTCAAATACTTCTATTAATATTGAAATTTTTTATAAGCCTTTTTCACAGTTTACATAGACAGTGGTTTGACTAATAAAGTTGTTTAAGGAAAACATAACCTCATTCTAAGTCTCGGATAATGTATTTATTCCCTTTGAATAATGACTTAATTGCGTAACATGATTTGATATCTTGATAATTATATATCTTGCGATAAAGATGTTGAAGTGCTTTGTAAGCTTATATCGCTATTGTATATATGTACTTCATAATGGATGACAGTGCTGTTGAAATACAGGTGAAGATTTTATTCTTTGCGAAAGCTAGAGAATTAACAGGAAAAAGTGAACATTTTATTATTGTTCCACGGAAATTATCATATACTGACTTATTAGATAAAATAATAAATTCTTTTAAGTTAGAGAGTATTCGTGACACCTTAATCTTGGCAGTGAACGAAGAATTTGTTCCTTCAGACGCAACATTAGTATTTTCAGAAAAAGACGAAATTGCTGTTATTCCGCCACTTAGTGGAGGTTTGTCTTGTCTCGAATATAAATGTGTTAATCGTCTTATATGTAATATATGAATTAATATTATAGTGTCAAAAAATATGGTATTTTTAAGAAACATAATATTTTTAGGTTAGAATGGATACTGTAAAGGATATTGTAAAGTTACAACAAGAAGAATTAAATATTGGATACATAAATGACTTAGTCACAGCTCCTAATTGTGGAGCCATATCGAACTTTATCGGCATTACTCGTGATAATTTTGATAATAAGAAGGTAACCATTTATTTAAACTTCAATTATAAGTCTAAAGATGTAGTTCATATATATGTATTTTAGGTTTTAAAATTGGAGTATGAAGCATATGAACCAATGGCAATAAAAGAAATGAATAATATATGTTCAAAAATTCGTGCACAATGGAATGTTCATCATATAGCTATATATCATCGTTTAGGAGAAGTACCAGTATCCAAAGCAAGTGTAGTAATTGCTATTTCTGCTCCTCATAGAGAAGAATCATTAAAAGCTGTTGAATATGCTATTAATGCACTTAAAGCATCGGTTCCAATTTGGAAAAAAGAAATATATGATACACTAGAATCTCAGTGGAAAGAAAATAAGGAGTGTGCCTGGTTTAATAGTAAATAGTATTTTCAAATTATTTAAAAAGAAAGTTCTGTAAAATTACATAATTTTACAAAATTTTAAGTGCATTTATTTGTTAATTAATATATAAAATTTTAACTAAAAGTTAGTATACATTAAGTAATATAGTATAAAATTGTTAAAAGTTTAAAAACAGATTTTATATTAAATATATTAAAATGTTAATAAATTGTTGATTATAATTTTGTAATTTTACAATCATTAACCCATTTTGTAATTATTTCTTTTTGTTCATTCAATTAATTATATAATATTCTTTTACATGTCAAAATATTGATTCAATGAATGCTGTTTTATGTAGTTCATGATACAATTGATTTGCAAGAATCAGAAAATATTTTAGTAACAAATGAGACAGTAGAAACTATAGTAGAATATGAAGATATGGAAACAGGAAATGAAGAAGAAGTAGAAGAAGAAGAAGAAGAAGAAGAGGAAGAAGAAGAAGAAGAGGAAGAAGAAGAAGAAGAAGAATGTAAAGTAGTAATTGATCCAAATCTTGTTCAAATTCGAGCAACATCGGATGAGTTAAATCATAGAATATCATCTTTCATTGAAAGAAAACGTCAACAAGTAAACATCGTGAATGTACAAGAATTTTGTTGTCACAGGTTGGTTGGTGAAGTAGTTATAAAAAGTTAATAATTATGTTTCATGATACTTTTAATTTAATATTATTATATTATAGAGATCAAAATGATGAAAATGAAGATTCATGTGCAAGAGTAGATGCCATTCTTATTAGGAGAAAAGATTCTAAAAGCCATGTTAAAGGTAAATGAAAATAGCTGTATTTATACGAATGAATCATAGAATATTTAAATATAATTTTTTTAGTACATAGAGTATTGAATGCATGGGGACCTCAAACAGTTGATCAACACACTTTGCATAAAGCTACCATGTCAGGATCTGTTCAACCAAATAATAATTATTCGTCTGTATTAGATGAAAGAATTTCTACTACAGAAAGAATTCTTGGAATAAATCGACCTGTTCCAAAAGATGTGTATGAAAGACTAAAAAATATTGAAGATCGGATATTGTATTTAGAAGGCATATCTCCTGAATATAAGGATTTATGGGTAAAATTTAATTAAATGTTATAAAATTTTATAAACGTTTAATTTTACTGTTGCTTCGATTTTAATTGCTTATAGAAAACAGAAGACATAAACAGCCTTAAAGGAACATTTAAACCAGTTAGGAAAAGAGTAAGTTTTATAAGCATCTTTCCAATTACATATATTATAGTCATTTAACACATATATAAATATGTCGAATTATATTCACAAAAATTTATTTATTATGAAAAAATTTCAGACATATTCCATGGCAGAACTTGATTCAAAACTGCATGAATTAGAAGATAAATACGCTAAAAGAGCGAAATAATTATTTATAACAATTATAAAAGACTGACCATGTATTTGTACATAGTGAAATTTTTAAAATAAGCAATACATTTTTATGTACATAAAATTTGTAGTAACTTAATTCTTATCACCATAAAAATAATTAATAGTATTTGATGCATGTTAATAAATCATAAGGTACAAGTACGATTAAATTACCAAAATTTTATTTTCGTCACATAAGGGTACAGGCATGTCGAAAGGCGGGGCTATACTTTCGTCGACACTATGGATACTTTTGTTTGGGTATGTACTTACATTAGTTCGTATTTCGGATGATAGAGGCAGTCTTCGTTGTGCTGCCATACGGTATGGCTGCGGTTTGTCGAAGTTTTCTCTTTATCCCGATATAATTTGAAGTGAATCGTTGATAGTAATGTGTTATTCATTCAGAAGTTCATCGAAAACTAGCCGTCCTTTCGAATGCTGGTGAGTACTGTCATACAATTTTTTTAAATACATATATTTTGTTTGTCGAGCATGCAACCCGCACGTCGTCTGCCAGGGTGACAAGCATCCTTTTTCCTCTCAGCTGAGTTTGTGGACCATTGGTCGGTTTTATATTTTTTGTTTTTGTCTGTTTTTGTTTGTTTTGACGTAACTCTTCCTTCATTTTGTTTTATTACATATCGTTAAGTTAATCAAGGATATTTAATAGAACAAACCGCAATTAAGATAAAGACAAAGCATCCTTAATTTTTAATATATTTTTTGAGCTTTGGCCATCTTGGAGATTTTCGAACTGCAGAATTATTTTTTCACCTTACGATAGTTGATGACGTTTGTTAAAATTTCAAATAACGACACCCGCTTCCTTGCTTTCCCCGTCGGAAGATATCGTTTATTTTTACGCGATCTATTTTTGTCCTGGCACATGGGTTTCTTCTAATAGTTTTCTTAAATGTTACCGAAATAAGGTGATATATTTCTACCAGAAATTCACTGCAGTCGCGATGATAATCACGTAGATATATTACTATGCGTCTATCTGTTTGTAGAACGAATGTAACTTCAAATAATCTTTGAGTCAAAGCGTACAACTATTATAATATTCAAATGAGACGAGTGTGATAAAGTAAAGACGATAAGTCAAACTTGTTTATCAAACGACACTTAGCGTTTCTTTTATACGAAAAGCAAACATAACCGTCTTAGAGCATCGAATTAAACATTAATAGATCGGAAAATTTTTTTTTAGGCAGTAATGTATGGAGTGAAATGAATAGGGTGGTCGGTAACATACGAATTTGCTTGAATCCGTATCGCGCGTGACGTTTTTATTGCGGTGCATTAATAATCGCATCTTTCACTAACGGCGCAGGAAATATGACTATAGAAGTATACACGATACTAAGATTTCTATCTTGATTTACTCGCGTGCAATAGTTAAAAGAGAAAATCGTGTCGGGAGCGTAACCAGAATAGAAAGAACATAATTCGGAAACGTGAAACTCCGTGTTAACGAAGCAGCGTTACCGATGTTTTAGCGTCCGTTTTTCTTTTTATTCAGCAAGAAGTAATCCGCGTAGTCGAGTGTGTTCTATGGCGTTTGTCACATAGAAACCCATCGCGGGAGTGCTGTTACGTCGCAGGCGATTAAAACGACAAACGCGTAGAGTGTTAAATGCCTGACATTGAATTCACAGCAAAGATTCACCGTTGAGAGACAGGCTAATTTGTATTGCAGTTAAGCGATTCTAATTGAAGCGGAACGTCTCGGAACAATCATTTACACAACAAGACTTCATTTCACATGTCACCCGCATATTTCATCGGAAATTATCGCGCAAGGAAATACTTGGTTCAAAAATATTTTATTCTTCATTTAAATTTCTTTATTCGAATTAAACTTATTGTGGATTACTTGTTAGCGGATTCTGTAATTGTTTTAGAATTAAAAAGGAAACAATTCGATTATTTAAGCGATTTGATTTCTTCCATCCGCGAAGGCGGGAGTCCTAGGAAATTTCCGGGCCTTTGACGTATCACTGCAGCTTTCCTGCTGGGTCTCTGCAGTGACAAAAGTAAATGCCCTGAAGCATCTAGGGACCTCGTTTACCTTTACCTTAAATTTGTAAGGAACCGAGCTTTCTTTCGTAGATAAAGACCCCTAGGTATATCGGTCTTTCCATATTCTCATAAATTTCCCAGATGCATACAGAGTATATTCCATGCTGTATAGTACATACACGATAACTAGAGTTTAACGACGGCGACGCACATGTAATTTTCTCGAAAATGATCGTTTATTGGAACAGAACGATGCGGTTTAAATGCATTTTAACGAGTAACATTATGCCGTGCACCTTTTCGTTTATACAGAGAGCAGCTATTGTGCAGGATAACGATGAATATGATTTCTCTCAACCACGACGTGCAAGAACGTACAAGTGGCGTAACGCGTTCCAGCTAGCTGATGTAAACAGAATTTCAATAACGTTCGGTAGAACGGCGGCGGGGTGGGGCGGGGGGGGGGGGATTTCACTGTTAGAACTATACAAATTTCTTCCTGGCCCTCCTAGGTATTCACTTTTGTTTTTTCATTCGTCACGCCGAGTTGATTTACTTTTTCTTCGATTTCCACGCGAACCCGAGTTAGTTCGTAATTAGACATGATTTGGCGAGGATAATGAGAAGAAAGTCACTTCCAAGATTATTATCGCGCAAACACAGGAAAATGCAATAGTTATTTACCAACGCTAATGCTATTAACCTTTTGCAGACGAATGTTGCAATTACATTTATCTATTCGGTTGAAAATATAATTCTTATTATAACCTCTATCTATGTGTGAGAATTCTAATTTTTAATTTGATTAAAATATATTAAAAATAGACGAACACGTAACGATCACGGAACAAAGTAATGAAATCCACTTCTGGAATTTTTTTAAATTTTGGCGCCAAAGCACTCGATCGATACATAACCTTTTATATTCAAAATAAATTTCTGCTTTCCGTGTTGCAATTAGTAGAATTGGCAGATGAGTAGCTCATACGTGTATCGTTTTACCGAAACAAAATATTTCGCTTTATCGAAAGAAAGAATTTAGGAACTATTTAATTTAAGATCGCCTATATCACACACGATACGATCAATTCTGATATGAACGTCTGTTTTCTTGTTTTCGTGTGTCTGGTTATGTACAATCGGTACATGTACTAAGTAATTGAATTGAATAATCGATACGATTGATTTTATGGTTCGAGATACGATAAAACAATTCACGTGGAAGAATATAAAAAGAGAAAAAAATGTACATAGATGCTTATCACGAGCATTTAACAATGGGGTACAATCTAGAACGTTCATTTTATCATGAGAAATGTTGATAGGGCACTGATTTCCAAATTACCTCGTTACCTGTTTGTTATTCAAACTAACTACGTGGGTCGCTGAATCTAAAAAAACAGGTGTTGCTCTCGTGGTATAAAAAGGTATGAGATTTCACTCGGAAAAAAGAGCACAACATTCTCCTCTAACTAAAACGCGTGTCAAATACATTGTAAACTCCAGCAGCAAAACAGTTTTATAAAAAGGGAACACTTTTCTCGACATGTGAAATATTATTTAGTTATATTTTATATTTTAGTGTTATTATTGAAAAAACTTCTCACGGTTCATTATCTTTTCATTTGCTTTTCTCTCAATATTTTTCATTCCTTCTTGAGACTAAGCACATGAAAATCTGAGTCCCTTATTTAGCCCAAAAAATATCCTTTAGGCTGTATCCAAGTCTAGGTCCCTCTTTATCTACGCAACACATATATATACGACACGTATACATACATACACGTACATATATACATACATATATTGACGCACATGCGAGGGAGGATAATGATGGTCGCGCGAAATCGCAATTAATACGCGAACATGGTCGATCAAGCGGAACCACAGAGGGTACAGTTAATTGTCCAGCGTGAGAAGCATAGTTTTACGATGTCCTCCGATCGATGATGCAACGAAGTAAGTACCGTTCGTTACTTCCGGGCTAGTCGATGGCCGAATGGAGAGGAGGCGGCCGGCAAAGGCCGTTTACACGGTTCCCGTTTGCAGGGTACTTTGTTACCCGACGGAGGAGCTATCGGAAATACCTGTTGGCGGTCCCGTGAATGAGTGGGAGGATTATGTCTATATCGTGCGACTTGCCGTGATCACTACGCTCGCGATCAGGATGCACTGCATTTGCATAGATAACCCGTAAGCTCGAAAGCGGCCGCCTGGTTTCTTCGCGATCGTGATTCGGCTGTTCCGCTTGTGATCGATAGTGTGTTACTCGACGTGGTCGTGAGAGGAGGCGATCAAAGGTATCAAGGTAGAAGCATTTTTTCTCCGTTTTCTTGCTGCGTGAGTGGGATAATTGATTTATCGCAGAGGTAATGTTTCTTGAGAAATAACCAGTAATCGATATCTGTTTCTTTCAATGTAGATATTGCGTGGTGAGCAGGAATCTGAAATTGAATTATTGAATGAATGTTTCATAACTTCATTTTTCTTTTCTTTTTTTAATATAATACGATAATATAGAAATAAGTGTGTAATTAATATAATGACGATATGCAGGAAATAGGAATTACAGTCGTTACTCATCTATTAGTTATCCAGACGCTTTCAGAGAAGTGTCTAAGCCTTTGATTGCCCCTATTTATACCCAGGTATAGGAAATCGATGATTCATATAATGGCCGTTCGAAATTACAAGAGAATCGCGGACGATTAGATTGAAAGTCTTTGCAATGAGCCGTGCCTTCCAATCGTGGATCGTCGGCATTTTTGCAGGAACATATCGTGCCGGAAATGATTGTCAATTCGATCCTTGCAAATCGTGGAACGATCGTTCCAGCCGGTTGGTCGCTTTTAAAGAACCTGATCCGATTGATTTGTCCGTAGAGCGCTGATTTAATAGCGCAACGCGATGTTCAGTGATTTGATTAATGTTGCTTCCCGCAAGCACCTGTAGCCTGACCAAGCGATGCCCACAGTTAATCTATCGTCGCTTACCATTTTGGATGTAATTACATCCACTCAGTGAAGATTTCATTTCAAAGAATTATTACCGACTAATGAATAGTCGACAGTTTTTACTAGAATTCAACACTGTTACGTAATTTAATAAAATTCTTTTTTCATTCTTACAGTATGTCTGCTTTATTTGGAAACGAGACATCTAGAAAAACGTAGGTAACATAGGACAGTACTTTAGGTAAATGTCGTAGAAGTACAAGGAGAACACGTCATGGTAATATTTACTTGATCTTACCATAACTCTAAAAAGCCCTGTGAATGTTATATTTAAATTTTTAAATAGGAATTTTACCTTGTAAAGAAATTGCAAATTCTTAGTTACTTACAGTTTTACATAAATCGCTACTGAGATATTAAACTCCAAACTTCATGTACTGTTGCTTGTTTGAGAGCCACCAATACAAAGTCAATCAATGGAACATATTTGCAATTTACTTTAGGCAATTCTAACATTAATCTGAAACATTTTCCTTTATCAGAAATATTTTCCGAGATATTTACATATTTCTTGGTAAAATGGATGTACTATATGTAATATCGTAGTGTATTACTCTTTTCAATACAGCAGTAATTTGATGGAAAAAGGTGGCAATCGTAGAATTTCATCACAGTATGCGAACAGGCTTCTCAATTTACGGGTACAGTAGCTTACACGATTTAGCGAGGTCGTAAAATCGGTCAAGCGTCGAAGTTTGCATGCTAGGGCGTCTGGATAAGCAAATTGACAAGATCTTGAAAAGATAAGAGCTGCAGAGCTCGGTCAGGGCTACATCGAGGGTACTTTAGCCTTTCGATTGGGTCCACTCTTTGCTGAACCAGGCAGATAGTATACGGCCCTGAATATTAGTATAATAATCGATACAACTACTTGATGGGATTTCTGGATATAGAACTATATGACGAAAGTTATCGTACTTTTCCATTCTTTGCTTTTTCTTCGATTAAATTGGTATGTACCCTTCCATTCATTAAGACGTCTGGTGGTTCTGCGTGAAACGTGATAATTGGCCTAAATTATCAGAGAAAGAATTATTATATAAGAACTACCTACAGAGATTAGAAAAAAAATGATTAATAATTATCTTTTAGCTGTTATAATCCTAACCTTACCTAAACTTTGCTTCAAAAGTTTCCAAGGTAGTTTGTATAGAAAGCTCCAAGGAATCTAACCGAAATTAAAATTTGATTTCTGAAATCATTTGCAATTATAATTAGGATAAGAAAAATTAATAATACGAATTAATTTTAGAATAATTATAAAATTAATAGTATGAACCGAGGAAAATAATAAATGTGAATAAAAAAAAAAATTAAATATTTACGATAATTTGTAAAATTATTTTTATAATATATTATATGTACCATAACTTCTTTGCAGTTCAAAATTTGAAAGAAAATTTTTAGAAGTTTCAATAACTTTTTAATAATTTTCAAATTACCTCAATTTTGCATATATTTTAGTATTTGTAGACGGGATTATATATTTTTGTCAAACTGTCATGGCGCACTGCAGAGCTAGCAGGCGATATACCAAAAAGACACGATTTGAAAATCCTTGGAATATAAATACGAAATTATTCATTACACGTCAGATATAGCATAAGAAGATGACACAAGTCTCTCCCCGTGGAGGAAAAGCTGAACTTCTCGTGTTCATTCTTGACTCGTGCTTTCAACAACCGAGTCCTCCCCCTCGGTGTTACCGCGTCATTACCGAGTAGAGCACGGCTTGCACCTCCTCGCAACTTAATTGTGCGCTCGTTGCTTGCTAATTGCGCCATTCGTCCAACGTTTAAACACGCGTTACCCATTTTCCTTCGGGAGCGTAAATTTTTGGGTCATGCCTTTATCGATCCGAAAGTTGAAAGTGCGCCACGCTCGACCTACACTTCCTCTCTTATTTACTTTATCCCGAAAGGTGCGACGGGATCTTGGACGATCCGAATTTATTGGAGCGCGAGGACCTTCGAATGAAAAAGACCGTTGAATTAACGGAGCACGTATTATACGAGGATTTTCTGTATCGTGTGTAGAAAAGACAAAGTATCGTAAACACTGAACGTGGTAAATAACATCGAAGATGCAGCGAATATATCAGCGACGAAAATTATGTGGAAAGAGAAGCAGTATGAAACTAATCGCATTACGATGATCTGTGGCGACATCTGTTAACGTCGAGCAAATTAACATGGGTGGGGGAACGCTGAATTTCGGCAGTCGTGTATCGATACTCGTACGAATAGGACGGTGTTCATAACTATTCGGATTATAGTTTCGATATATTTCGTATTATCTAACCTAAAAGAAATATTTCGTCGTTTCTTTTATCGTTTTACAAAGACAAAAGCAGTTGATATCGGTTTTTACTTTAAACGAGGTAGAGGATGATACTTCTAGAATTAAACTTTTATATCCTTTTCACTTTCTGGATCTTCTTTTCCGTGCAAAACGAGGCGAAGAATTCCTCGCGTTTCGGCTTACGTAAAGACGTTTTTTACAACAGATCGCGGTTCGTTAACGAGATTTCGATGCGTGCGCGGTTGCGTGAGTAGCCGGAGAAATAGCAAAGAAAGTCGTACGCATTTCAACGAACGAAACCACTTCCTGATTCCCGCTTTGTACGTGAACAATACGCATGCCAATCGAATGTTGCCACGTGCATGCCGGAAATCGAAAACCAAACCAATCGATATGTCTCTCTTCTTTCTGTTCCTAACACGAGGGAAGTACTGCGGACTAAGACTAGCCGCAGTTTACTTGGTTAGCCAATCGTTACATACTCTCCGCCGTAATCAAACGTGTTTGATGATGGAACGCGCGCGTATTGTACGAAACGATACCAGAGTCACGTGATCTGACAAATTTTATAAAAATTACATACCGATATTTTTTTATATATTTTCTTACTCTTTTTTTCCTTTTCTTTTTATTTTTCAGGTACTGAAATTGAGAATCGTGTAATTTCACTTTATATCATTCTGTGGGATATGAAAGCGGAAATATCAAAGAACTTTCTCGATTTGCTCGCATCCCAGGGATAACGACATATTCAAGGCTCGTATATAATGGCGGGATATTTGAACGGTCATTTTTTTCAGTTGAATTAATTTCAGAAAATATCTCAGCTGATCGCTGTTAATAAACGGAAGTCTACATTTATGCTCGTTACTGCTAACATATTGCTACCTTCAGGGTTTTGCGTGCTTCATGACTCGCGTCGTGAAAACGCGCCGGAACATCCGCAAATTACCTCTAAAATATTATTGTGGAACACTCGTCCGATAAACCGTGACTATTAGCGGGTGTGCTAGCTGGCTCTATGCAAATGATTATAGAACAGGAAGCAGCGGGTCGACGAACCAAGATCGCCGACATTTTAGCGGAACTTGTTATACCGTTTGCGTAATGAAAATCGATCGGCGCGCCGCGGCAGTCGATCGCGTGTCCCGCGGATTCGGCTAGAGTTTGATTTTAATTACCCGTCGAAAATTGCGACTAACAACTCCCATTAACCGGACTTCTTCTAGCGTTAACGAATCACTTAATTGAATAAGTCCAGTTGTTCGGATACTCGCGAACGAATGTGGATTTTTTCTTCATCGTGTCGATAGGCTCTTGGGAATCGTTCCACGAGTCGTCAATTATATAGGGTGTCTAATAGCACAAGCATGCGAACGGTGACTTTACGTGTAAAAATAAGTCGAATAGGAAGAATAAAATTTTTTCGTTTGACGCGCCGTTCTCGAGAAAAATTTGTAGGTTAGAATTATCGGAGTACGCGCGCTTTTGTTTAAATTTTGGCACTATGAATTTCACTGTAGACTATATTTACCTAATTTATAATAGAATGATGAAATGATATATAAAATTATTGTTCTTTAAGATTTCATAGTAAAATTTGTACAGTTAAAGTTTAATTAAACTCGCGCGCGCGGTCTGAATTTCAAACTCCATTTTCTCACAAACGAAGGCTCAAACGAAAAAATTTTATTCTTTCTTTTCGACTCGTTTTTTGATGCAGAATCAACCCCTGCTCATTTGTACCACCAGTTATTCACCGGACTATATATATATATTCACGATGCACTTTTTTCCAGACGAAACGTCGCATGGAATAAACGCTCTTTTCTTTGTCTCTCTTTTTCTCCGCGTCTCTTTTTTATTTTCCGTGGATCTTCGAAATCGACCTGGATTTTTACCAGTCTACTTACACGCGTTATAATTGGTTGGAATTAAGCTGGTCGTGCGATTATCGGCGAAACGTCTAGCCCGTCATTCAGAACTCATTAACCTCGTATTAACGCCCCAGGCTTTCCATCCGATTTACCGTTTAAAGCTCACGGAAGCTTACCCTCGTGTCGGCCGGCATTTGCATACGGATCGACCCACATAGATCGCCTGGAGATTACACCGGGCCTAGATCATAAGACCGATTAAAGCGGAAAAAAGTTTACGTGGCAACGGCGTACACGTATACACACATGTATTTGCACAATATAACAGCAGTACACGTCGTATATTCGCTAGTATCGCAAAATCGCGCGGGTATTCCCCTCGGTCTATGCGTCCTGCCGTTCTCACGCTGACCCTGCGGTGGCGTAGCCGAGTACTCTACGGATCGAGAGGATCCGGGCTTCTTTTCGGGTGTCAGGTGTTCCTTCTATCGGTGATGGAGAGTTTATGGATCAATCGGTTCGCGTCGATCAGCAGGATGTCGTTGTGCAGGTAGCTGATCAGGGCCGTACAAACGCGATCCGCTCGTTTCGTGACGAAGTAGTACAAGGGCGCCCAACTTTTCGCGCCGATGTACATCGAGCAGATGGTCTCGCGATCAGTTTCGCTGATCTGCCTGGCGTACTTGATAAACGTGCAAAACTGCGATTTCGTTGCAGGCGCGTAGATAGACCTGAGCCGAGGTCCCATGTCACCGAGCAGTCGATAGAACTTCTGGCCGCGGAATCTGCTCCCTAGTATATTGATCGTGTGCAAATTACGGCACCTCTCCAGTATGCGGATCAGGAAGATCGAACGTAGGTACAATTTCGACGTGGAACCTACGGCAGAAAGTTTCCTGTTCGATGATCGATCGCGATAGCAACGGGGTACACTGCGAGGGTCGAAATGGTACTATGCACCACGATTTTCAATGTTTCTAGCATTTACAGTTGCTCACAAAATGGAGCGTATCATGAAAATTAAAGTAAATATGCATGTCAGGGTAAACATACAATATATATTCTGTTTGCATATATTTAGAATAAAATAACATCTTTTATTCTTTATCAATTAATCACATTCCAACATATGTATATCTTCGCGAAAGATTACACGATTTGAACCGCATTTGATTTTAAAACAGGTTTGCAGTGTGTGTAATAAAAAAAATTATTATTCTTGGAATATCTTTGTAAATATAGCAAACAATAATTATTTATTTATCTTCTGAGACTAACGAGACAAAAGGTATGCGAATCTTTCCATGGGAGGAAAATAAAATGGCGTTGATCTGTTTTTCCGCACGTCTGCTACCATTTTGTCGTGACCATTTTGTACAGAACTAGGTAAAATTTTTCGAAAAGATTTAAATAATGGTTGTTCTTTTTCTGATTTAATGAAACATAATTTCTCGAGAAACACTGAAAATTATGGAGTATTTTGTCGCATTCTGTTTACGAATTTTTCCCCCTTTTTTAATTTTTCTTCTTCTTTTTTTGTTTAATTGTATGGTATTTTTAAGTCGAGTTAACACCAGAAGGCGTACGCACGTTTGTTTAGTATATTAGGACGTATGGTGATGTATGCAAAACGCAGTGGTTGTGTTCTCGCGCCGACTTCGTCATTAAAGCAGCATGCAAATGAGGCGAATGGTATTCCCGCGTTTATGTCGTTGCTTAGAAATTTATCGTCACGATATCGATTCCACTACTCGTATGTAGTAGTGGTCGATTAGAATGTTGAAGGAAGCTGACTGTGAAAAACGCGGATTGCATTTCACGTTTCTTTCCGCGTGAGTGGAATTCGCACGAAATTACCATGATTATTCTAACCCTTTGCATTCCGAGGATATTTCGACTCGATCCATCAGTGATACTCCGAAAAACCCAGGGCGAAAACGAAAATTTTCTTTCGAGGACAAAGCATTAAAGATTATGAATTTGTTTCTACAGTACACTTAGAGGAAGAAAGCAATTAACAAACTCCAGACCACATTAACCCTTTCGCTACGGTATTCTTGGAGCTTAAGAGAATCTTTGATGCACAGGTAAGGAACACCTTCGTTGATGAAAGATACGGTTATGAATTTTTAATTACATCGAATTAATACAGGTATTTACAATTTACACGATACTTATGTGCACACTTTTAACAGGTGATCGGCTACCAAAGCATCTAAGGATTCCTCGTAGCGAGACGGTTAATGTCATCACAATGGCGCCAACGGAATGCAAAGGGTTAAATCCGATCGATACGTTAATTCCTTAAATCCTTCGCTTAATCGTGAGAGAATTTAACGTGCTTGGTTAAAAGAACAGGGGCACATGGTCTACCTAGCCGATCGGTTTCGCGCTCATCTTCCCTTCCGCACTGCAGACGAATGCAATGAAACGTGTTTGGAATACTAATTGCGTCAAAGCCGCGGTAAACACGGTTGCCAGGTCAAACAGCGCATCGTATACATGAATCATACGCGAACACCCCGTAAATCGATAGGAATTTTCTGCCCTTTATGATGACGTGGTAGGCGTTGTCAGGCAAGAAGAAGGAAAAAGGGTGGACGAAACATGGGACAAAGGAGGTCTGAAAGGAGGTCTGAAAGCCGGGCTCGCAACGAGAGAACGCTGCAAAAGGAAGCATTAGGAAGCGATGCACCATTAGGAAAATGGTAACTACAGAGGCGCGTTTGTTTGACACGTGGCCAAACTATTTTCCCTTTCTCCGTTATTCCATTTTCCGGTCTCTACCTTTCTCTTTCATCATCTTTACCTATTTCATAACCACGGCCTCTGGACACGTTTGACGGGATAGAAGAGGAAAACGAGAGGCAGAGAAGAGGAGAGGAAGAAGAGTCGAATCGGGTAGAGTTTTTTGAACTCCAGCCAAAAGTCCACCCGCCTCCACCCAGCTTCGCCAATACGGTTCCATGCGATGAGGATAGGAAGGAGAAACTTAATTAGCAGAGGAAAAAACTGACGACGAGGCATAGGACGAATAGAACCTGTGCAATTAGAGACGTGTAGTTCCTCCAGCTTTTTGTTTGACAGCGAGATTTGCCGCAGGATATCGTCGCAGTCCGCCCTCACACTTATGCTCAACTTCTTCAGCAGCGGCATCCTCTTCAGCTCCTTGATTACCTCTGATGTGGACTGTTTGGTGTTCGTCACCTGAGAACAGAAACGGAGATCGATAAAATTGTTAAGCGAGAATTAATCCTTTAAGAATTGATACAATCGTATTCGACGTTTTATCCTAACTGGTTCATAATCGATAAACTACTTGGAAACGCTAGTCAAAATTTGATTCTATTTTCACATGCTTCTGATCGATAACACGTCTACGTTGTTAATTGCGTATATTTTTGTGGAATTAAATTGGAACACAATGGGTTATATTTTATGTAAAGAAATTGGGACTAGAGCGAAACGAAATGTCAAGTCCAGTTAGATATAGGACCCTAGGGGGTTAAGTCGGTTTCTAGTTGGAAACGTGAGACAAAATTTGATTCTATTTTCACATGTTTCTTGTAATGGATAACACGTCTACGTTGTTAATTTCGCATACTTTTGTTGAATTAAATTGGAACATAATGGGTTATGTTTTATGTAGAGAAATTAGGAGGACTAGAGCGAAAGGAAATGTCAAGTCCAGATAGATATAGGACCCTGAGGGGTTAAGTCGGTTTATACCTCGTAAGTTCGCCATAGAAACGGGTCGTAAGCAAGTCGGTTGAAATGCAGGGACACGCGACTGACGGCGTAGAGGTCTGTGTATGGTAGATAAGAGAATATCTCGAAGATGATTTCCACTGGTAAGGATGCGATCCCTGTGATCGGAAACGATGTTGGATCCACGGTCCGCGCGTCACACTTGTTACCAATTCTGGCACGCTTCCTAATGGGCTCTGGAGTAATTGCAAGTTCGGCCATTCTCGTTGCGTTTCCATTTCTGGCATTGGTACGCGCACGTGTTCTCACATTGTCTTTCGATAGGCCGACGTGAATAATTTCTTTGGGCACTTGATGATCGGTGGGTCTGTTTGTTGCTGTGTTTTTCGTAAGGGTTATCGCATTAAGATGTCGTGTGAAAATACTAGGAATTTTGACATCTGTCAGATATGGCCTTCGCTTTTGTTTTGTCCGCATCAAACGATATCGGTGGCTATCGAATCACCCGCTGCAAATATCGAATTTTCTTGCCATTTTCGTCTTCGTCGGGTGCACTCGCGAAGATTGTATCTCACTCGATGAATTGGAAAATTTGGAACGTCCAGTGTGGACCATCCATGTTAGTATGAATGTATAGTTAGTTGGAACGATATAACGTGGTCCTAAATTATCGCGTTACATGGCGACCTCGATTGATACTGAAATGGCACCATCGAAATTGCCAATGCTTTAGGTGTAAAAGTCATGGATATACTTCGCACATTTAACACTTTATACTCTAATTGTAAGTATTTTAGAATAATTCCATTCGACGAGAAGTTTAGGGACATTTATAAGAATGATCATAAAGGTGTTTTACTTTAGGGAGTGAAAGGAATCTGATCATTTATCATAGTAAACTTATGGTTAGTTCAAACGGTATAATAGGTTGTAAATTATTCTAATTCAGGAAAAAGCTCCTGATTAATTTCAAATTTCAACTCAGTTCATTATCTTACCTGGTTTTCGACTTTTTAAATTTTCAATTATTAAAAATGTGCAGGCATCTCTTACAAAATCAATTTTAATTTTTATCCAGATAGCACCATAGTAGATATATAGGTATATTTATTTATTTAATAATACACCATATAAAACAAAACTGCATGAGCATAAAATTTGTCAGAAACTATATGATACATTTTCTCATTTTATCAAAGCTTTCGTTTTTCGCAAAGAGTTAATATCTTTAATTTTTAGTAAATCATCACTGTACATCAGAAGGAAGAACCAAATCCAATTTAACATCGTACATCATCGATCGATACTAGAGCTGATTTATATCTCTCAAAATATTTTTAATTACACGGAAGTCGGAATACTCCTGCGTACTTTTGGACTCGACTGATTTCACGAGCGCACTATGTCGTTCGAACCGGCCACACGCCCTCGGCATTATGCTTGCCACGCTGATCACGAAAATCATGATAGTGACTCATGCACCGGCCATTCTTCTGTCACCTGCTTTTCATTCCGATTAATAGCGAGGGGTACCGTAACGACGCGATAAATTCAGCTTTTTTCGGTAAGGACCCAGTAGTACGTGCGTGCTTCTAATGGCTACATGTCGTGTGTACTTAATTCACGTACGTTGAACGAATTTGATGATAACGCTTTTTTCCAAAGTCCTGCTGTGCACTTTTCCCTTGCGACATTGTTGAATCGTTGCAGGAACTTCTAAAATGAAGCAGGCAATAATTAAAAAAAAAGAAAAATAACTAGGACTGTTATTGAAATTCAATTAAAAAATAATTGGAAAATAATATTGTATAGAACGTGAATTAATGATGTGGTAAGAATAAAAATGGGATAGAGAAAGTTACTGAAATTTAATTTAAAAAAAGAACTGCAAATAATATAAAGAACGTTTCAAGGTTGATTTCATTTTTTCTTCTTTTTTTTATTTTTTTTACCGATGAGAGACGTTATACTTTTTATCCAGTACGGTTACAACCGGTTTCAAAACGAGTTCAACGACTCGCAAACTCGAGATCTCTCAATGTCGCAAACGCATAATAAAGCGATTTTAAACTTACGTTCATCTTATATGATCATACTTCAGACCGTACGTTTGCTAGAAAGAGAAACGTGGGAGAAAGAGAGAGGGAGATATATATATATAGGGGCGGGAGTTATTCACAGAAACATCTCTCGATAGTCACCGGCTCGTTAAATAATGAACGAGTTCGTTTATAAAACGGGGGAAATATTTTATATTGGAAGAAAGATCGATCGAATTGATCGGTGGTATTCGAAGATTTCAGAGATACGTCAACGGTATTCAGAGCGTGGACAGTCTCCGAATAGGTTATTTCCGAAGTGTAATTACGCGAATGGTGTCTAAATCACGCAACCTGCCAAATAGTCGCGGTGTACACTCGAATCGTCTTGTCTTTAATTTTCTTTCATAACGTACCTTGATCCGATTACCTACATAAACTTAGCAAGTCTGGCAAGAGTCAAGGTGCAGCTACATCGTGGTTATATTTGCTGCCCATTAACATTCCAGCGGCAGAAGAGCAAAGTGCACGGTAACGCAGGCCTGAAAATCGATAACCTGTCTATAAGTACGAAACTTTACACGGATGGATATAATAAGCGTAATTCATTATTAAAGGATAACCTTTCATGTGTCATGTTAAAATTAGCATTTTGTAGAACGGGATTCGACTTTTGATCAAACTTGTAAAATAAGGTGAATAAACTATTCATATGATACATGTACCGACCTCCCTTTCGACTAGCACGTTTATCCACGCTATTGGCTTATTGAATGTCAGAGGACGCGACCGTAAAAGTTTGTCCCGTTGGCTTTCGCGCTTGTTACCTTACAAGCTATCGACGTTTCTGTCAATGCGCACGATAACACATCCGCAAATCCCGCGAAACGAAACAATGAGAGGAACGCAAACCATGTGAACGCTAATGCTTTCTCGTTAACTCTGGACACGTTATCTTTTTACGCGTCACTAACGAGACTGACATTATCTACCGTGACGCGGTCGAGAAAGTTTCCTATTAAATTTTGCGCCCAAGTTTACGATGGAAAATGAAACAGATTTTTATTTTTAAATTATAGATAAATCATGCTGTCTCAGATGAAGACAAACTCCACTGGAAAGCTGGAAGGGAAACGACCGAAAGAGTTAATGTCATCTTCTAGTCTTTCCGGTATGTCACAATTATCGAATAGCAGCGAGGAGGCCTTGGAACCGCTTGTACATAAGCCGCACAAATCGGAAACGATAGAAAGGTAAGTTGCGTTTAAATGTTTTGATGATGAACTTACACAAGCTTTTTTCATTATACAATGTACATTCTAATTAAACATTATTTTGCAACGTGTTTTGTTATGTAATAAAATAGTCTGAACTATTTAAAATAAATAATGGTAAATGAGAGAATAAATATTCACACGTGGAAAATCAAATTTAAATTTTTAACGTATTGAATGGATCGTACGATTTCTTTCTTACCGACGTTTGATAAGTTTAATGGCGCTATATTACAAGGGTGAAATTGTTACGGGAATGTTTTGTAAAAATTGCATTCGGCGTTTTACCTACTATGCGATAATTTTTATGTTGCAAATGTGTAATGGTAACTTGTAAAATATATTTTGCAGCACAACGAAGGACGCAAGTCCACAACACAACGAATGGCTACTAAGTGGACCAAGTGGGAATAAATCTATTTTACGTTTCAAGTAAGTTAAAATCCTGTTTTCTTTATATTGCATTATTTTTGTATTTGATTTCCATTACTTAATGCAGAGTATGTAATTATTTGTTACTATTTTTTAGATGCTCCGCATTAGCAACGCCTCCGGAAGAACCACCCGCGAAAAAATTGCATATGACTTACAAAATTTTTCAAATGGATACTAAACTTATTAATCTCTTGCTGCAATCACACGGTTTAACAGAGGTAAGTTGAAATAATTCATATCTGTTTTGAAAGAATTTTTTATTGCAATTCAGTACGTATATAAACTAAATTCGAATTATATTGAATCATTCGTTATAATACAAATTAATTTTTTATTCTCTTTTTTTAATTTTTAAGTACTTATAAATATACAATTTCAAAATAATAGTACAACTTATACTTAAAAGAAATACAATTTATTTTTTTATGATTTGTTTACTGACATTGTTTCTTCAATGGAATTTTTAATTCGATAGTTATATTCTATAGTATAAGAAGTCGCGTATTTCGTATCGTATATTTTGCTTTTTATTTGTTAATGGTATTACCGTGAAGTAAGTTACTATAATATGAAATAACAATATAGTTTTTTTATTTAGTGTTTAGTATGTTACTATTCAATAATATTTTAATATTTATAATCATAACAAAGTATGTAATTGTACAAAGAAATCAAATCTGAATTATTTAAACAAGGCAAACATATATTTTTTTATAAAATATTAAGACCACTGATTACTGTTACTAGTAGCGTTTAAATTTATATTCGTTTAATATTATAATAAACGTTTCATGTGTTTATCCAAATATAAATTGTCTTATATTTATTAAGATTATTTTTAATACTGACAATTTTACAGTCTATTAAAATATAACATATTTAAACAGCCAATTGTGTCATGGGCAGGATTTTTAAAGAGCTGTTTTTATTGACATAGTAAGTTTAAAAAAAGAATGTGTTACTGAATACAATTACCACAAAACCAATGAGCTCCTGGACACAGATCCACATCTAAATTCGCGCGAGTTAATGTTGTTCTTAACATCCTTACACCTTCACAATCCAAACCCCAATTTGCCAAGTTCCCAATTTTTCTCAGTCTTTTACATTTTTTGAACATATTCAGCACAGTAGTTGCAGATACTTTACTGGCCTCGTATATATAAAAACATGTTAGGTTTTGTACTAAACTATTTTCACACTTATCAGACTTTCTTGAATTTTTGTGTTTGGTTGATATACTCAATAATTTTTCCAAATGTTCATCAGTAAGATCAAAACAACTACGAACATGTAGTGCTGTCAGTTCTGGTGCTAATGAAAGAAGTTTTGTAATAGCAGCAGCACTCACTATACGTCCTAATTGAATTTTTTTCAAATACTTCAGTGGAGGAGGATCAGCACCTTCTGTCCAAATTATATTTGAGCCACGGTTAGTAAATGTTCTAAGATTAGAACAACTATTGAAAACTTCTTTTAAATCAACTTGAATAGGATTTTCATTGTGAGTTATTCTGAGATTAAGTTCACGTAGATTGTGACCATTAGTGCGAAGATAATCATAAAAACCATCCAACCATTCCCTTTGAGGTGGTATGCTATGTACACTCAGGGAAGTAACATAGGGAAATAATCTCAGAGCTTCAGGAGGATGATGAGGTTCTGAAATGTGTAATTTTTCTACTTTTGGGCATGCCTGTGCCAAAAGTTCTAAACGAACTGGTGTTGTTCTACAACTTCTTGCTTGAGTTAGACTAAATGGTGTTTTAAATCCAATGAGTCCTTCATTCATAATTTCAACTACTCTTCCAACATAACTATATTCTCCTAGGGATTCCAACTTTGGCACATGTACCAAAGCCAAAAGTACTCCTGCACTAGTCACACCAGTGTTAGCAACATTAAGTACTCTGAGTGTATCACAGAGTAAGTTTCTGCTTTCATAGTATTCCAATAGTACCCCATGTTTCTCCTTTGTTGCTGATTTAGAATTTTTCATTATCAATTTTGAAAGTAGTGTTTTTAAACGAGACCAACTAGTAGGTTCTTGCATTGTAGTATGAGGTACTTTATCTCGAAGTTCTACTTGTAACAGTAATTGCTTCAATCCTACATTTGTTACTAGTCTTGAACAAGCTACATCTAAATGCACAAGTTTTGGGCAAGCTTTTCCTACCACTTGAAGCACTGTATCACTGGCTATATTACGCATAGTTAAACTCATCAGATTCTTCATATTTAAGAGAGCACATCTTAACAAATTGCAGTCCAATCTTAATAAAGCAGAACGAGCTAATTCTAAAGATTCAAGTCCAATTCCTTCTGATGCAAGCAGCTTTAATAATGATGTCTGATGGCTACATCCATAATAACAACAGAGATTCACTTTCAACTGCTTTATGTCATGTCCAAGAAGAAGGGCTAATAGGTATAGTGGAGCTGGACCAGAAATTGAAGTTGATCCATCAGATGCAGGTCCATATAACATTTTTGAAGTTTCTTCAATAACTTGTGATCTCAAACGTGTAGATAAAGCATTTATGTAATAAGGTCTGATGGTTTGCTTTGCGTATGCCAACACTTGTGCAGCAGATGATTCTTGTGAAAGCACTTGCAGCATTCGGCACGTCCTGTCGAGTCGTTGACACACACGTCCCAAACTAAGTCCCTCCAGGGAATTAGGCTGACGGTGGCCAGGCATCTTCTCTTGTTCATTCACTGTAAGATTTGACATGTCAATTATTATACCACAATAATGACATGACAATTCTAGTAATATTTAAGTTATAAATAATAATAATTTGTTATTAAAAATTTGACTTCTAGTTGTGGAATTTGCTGACAAAGTTAAAGGAAATTTAATATACATATGCTAATTAGTACAATGTTTATTATACCAATCTCTTTATTATAAAATATATTAATTATAAAAATTAGAAATTTTAATGAATTTGGTTATGAAGAAGTGTGCATATATGTCATAAACAATTATTATCTTAGTTAGATATTAGATAAATTTAAAATTGAATATTCGTAACGAGTTAAGATTAATGTTTTAATTTTGAGGTTAAGTACTTTTGAAATACGGTACAGTAATTGTTTTTATATAAGTTTATAGACTCTACTATGAACATTACAGACATATTATCAGAATAATATTAATTGGAAGGAATATTTTATACAAATAACTTCCTTGTATAATTATCAGTAGTGAAAAATTGTTGTTACTATCCCAGTAAATTTTCGTGACAGAATTCAACGATGCTTTTGCTCTGCATTGTTTTATTATTGAATATTAAAATTATCATTTTGAATTTGGAAAATATTCATTAATAAATTTTTCGTCCTTCCATAAATTTAGATCTTGAATTCTGAATACAGAGTAAGTAGATAAACAAACAAATAACTCTTCTTTAAAATTTTTTGTTTTTATGTCTCTATGAAAGGAAACTATACTACAGTACCAAAATTTAAGAAAATTACTAAAGAAAGAGTATACAATAGATACCAATAAGCATATGATTAACAAAGAATGCCTAGACATTTAAAAAATCGTGAAGTAAATTTATGCGCGTTTATTTTGTCCTTGTAACATTCAAATTAGTATCTTTTGATTGAATACCCATAGGAATGAAATGTTTTTACAAATTTTGATTTTAATAGAAAAAGATAAGTATTTTATTCCATATTCGTATTTGGTTCGTTAAATTCGACGTGTTCAAAATGTGCATCGTTTTAAAGACACCATAATATACGTTATACTTTATTACATATACGTTCCTCGTGTATCATGAACAAATTGATTACCACTGGTTACTTTCGCGAGTCTTTGCTATACGTCATTGATTTTTTTTCAAAAGGAGCAATGTTAATTCATTATTTAATTTGTTCTACGTAATCTTTTGATTACGTAAAAAGAATCGTAATTGACTAAATTATTTGTATCCATAATTTATTGGATATCCCTTATAAATAATTGAAATCGCAGCATTTTTCCTTCATTACACGAGATAGAACATGAGTTCAATACGAATTAGATTTCTCGAGTGCTATATCGTAAAACGGTAAAACTAAATAAATTGACAATAAAATATTTAGTGTTGATACGTTAGAAATGTCATACGATTATTTTTCTCTTTTCTCTTTTCTCATTAATACACGTTTATTTTCATCGATTTCTATTCCCTGCATAAACGGCGTTCGTACAGTCAAGTATTGAGGATCTATTGCAAGAGTGACAGAAAGGTGGCATCGATGCACGCTATAATTGCGAAAACGTTGTTAGAGAACGGAATAGTGGGGTTTCGCGCGACCCCTTGTTAATTAACTAACGCCTCGTGTACCATAATTTTGTGAGTTGCAACAGATAGTTATCCGCGTGCATGTGTAAACAAGATCGAATGAAAATTATGGAATATCTGAAATAAATATTTTAATACAAACACGTCAAATTAACAAAAACGGGAAAATTAACTTTAACACTAATGTAATAATTGATAAAAAATTATTCATTTAATAAAGAAACATCAGTTTTACCCCGAAAGTGAGAATCATGCTTAAACTTGACCTCATCAAACTTAAACTTGACCTAGACATAAATGTTGTCTGACCTAGACCTAATTATGCGAACAGACTAAAAAGATATCGCTTGATTGAAAATAGAAATAGTTATACGCAGGTAAAAGCCGTTTTCGATACCGATTGAATAATACGTGAGATTGAATTATTGAAATTTAATCGGTTTTTACTGGTTCGTTCTTTGTTATTGCGTTGTAGGTTACGTATTACGTTGGGTCGAATGTTTTTAACTTTTCGTATCAAAGGCGAGTCCACGACGGTTATACAGACATAGAAATCCGCGTGATGCACGTGACGCCGCGACATCGAAACGCGGACAATATGTAAACGCGGCGATACTGCGAGTCGTTCACACGTTTGGTTACATAAAGGCAAACACAACTGAATCCGACACACCACTGTGACACTTTCACTGGACCATTTTTTTTTTTTTTTTTTTTTCTTTTTACTCCCACCAAATTGACGCT